AAAAAACCAAGGGGAATAAAACAAGGGCCGCACAGCTGGTTTTGGCTTAAGCATCACAGCTGGATTTCAGAGCTAGCCACCTTAAGCTCCAGGTGAAAGATACGGCCATATTTTGTGAGATCCTTGGTCTAATTTGCAAACAAGCCATTCAAATTGTTAGCAAGAATGAAGTACCCTTCTGTATGGTGGGGGTGGGGGGGGAGAGAGGAAAGTATTATAAAAAGAAGAGGGGGAAAGAGAAAGAATAGTGCTGTGGATTGGTTGCCCATTTGATCTTGCCTCTAGCTCATCAATCAATTGGGGGGCCACCTATCATGTCGGGGGAAAAACAGCAGGACTTGAATGCTGGTCTCCTTGGGAAAGCAAAAGCATCCTCTCTGTTTTGCTTAAAGGGCAGCTCTCTTTTGGAAGGATTCAAGGCAGGTTTAAAGAAAACATGGGAATCAGAAAAGAATATTTGCAGTTCAGGGTTGAACAATGCAGTTCTTAATAATTTCTGCACTTGGTTGTTTGCTTGAGGAAGTTGTATTACTCAACTAGGTAACACCCTCATTGCAAGGCAATCGTCTGCAGGCAAACAACTAAGCTCAGAGATCAGCAAGACTCCACAAGTATAAAAAAAGTTTCCAGGTCTTTTTGCCATGGCCAATCAATCATTAGGATACTAACAGCATTTGTAAAAGACACCAAAATCTCCTGGTCTCAGTTTTTCTCGCAAATGACAAAAGTTAGCCAGTTTGGTCTAGTGGTTAATGCAACCAAGCTAGTAACCAGGAGACTATGAGTTCTAGTCCCACCTTGGACATGAAAACCTGCTGGGTGACTTTGGTTCAGTCACTCTCATTCACCCCAACTCACTTCACCGGGAAAAATAGGAGGATGAAGGAGTAAAAATGTTTGTTTGCTGCCTTGAGTTATTTATAAAAATAACAAAGTCACGATAAAAAAATTCTTTAAAATGTAGATTTCAATTTTATATATTATTATTATTCCTTTACTTCCTTTTATACACTGATTTCTATGCCACATGCCCTACATATAAATCTTATTCTACATTATTTAAAAGTGACAGATTTGCACCTATCAATTAACATATAAAATAATGCACATTATTTCTCTCGTTTTCTTTTTTTATAACGTGTTTCTTGATGCAACACATATATAATGCCATTTTCTCCCCAGACACATTTGTTTGGTAAATTTAAACACTGCAGAGCAAATTTTAGCACCATATTAAGTAACTTTCAGTAATGGGCTGATATTAGTTATTCTATAATCCTGAAGAACTCTCTTGAGTAGCTTGAATATGCAGTGCTCAGAAGGCATTCTTCATCCTAATTATCAATATTAATGTTTTTTCCAGTATTTCCCTAACTTTAGAAAAGGAAAGTGAAAAAGGGAACTTATTATCATTTCTTCATATATTCCTATCATGAAATACAAAGCCAGGCTCCTGCCAAAAATTACAGCTGAGGTTATCTTTGATGTTAAATGATAGGCAGAATAATTTGTCTCCCTCTGATGTCTAGGATAAGCAGTTTATCGTCTACCAAAACCTCCGTGGCAGTGATTGTGGGAGACCAAATGTGTAATTATTTAATAATACTAGTACAGGACAAGAAGGACAATATGTTTGAAAAAGCAAGAAGGGGGTGATAACAAGAAGTTTGTAACGTAAGATATATTAACTGCATGTCTAATATGCTCAGAATACATTTATATTCTGTCCTACCTGGAAAAAAAAATTATGAATAGGAGACAACGAAATTTTTTTTCTGTCATCTGTTCCTCTAGTGGCTCTCCAGAAATAGTCAGTGATATATATCCTCTAAAGTACTTAAGAACATGTCACAGAATTGTTTGTAATGATAAATCTGTAAGAATAATAATCTTTTTCCAATTTTCCCAACCCCACATTATTAACTGTGGATAATATTGCTATCATCAACAACACATCTATTTTTCACAGAAGCAGGCTATGGTGAAAATTCCAGCAAACATTACATGCCACCACAATTTGTGAAATGCTGAGATGATCCAGGTTTTTGAAAAAACATCACAGGCATAATAAAAGTTACAGTGATATATTTCATAGGATCATGTCTGGTGGACTGATTGCTATCTTCACTGTGCAAAAAGAAAAAAGAAAAGAGACAAAAAAGGAATTTTATTTTATTCCTAATAGTCTTTTATGTGATTGAGTTAATCATTAGCACATCTTATCAGCCTCAGGCAACATTAAAATACAGGAAAAAATATTGGGTGTTTGTAGGAAGGGGACATTAAGGAAACCAGGATGATAAAAAAAGGGGGTCAACATCCTTTTTGTGTGTGTGTGTGTGTGTGTGTGTGTGTCTAGATTAAAACTTCCACTAACAGAAGTGTTATCTCCAGTTTTGCACTCCACTAAGAAGTAGCAAGAGAGAACCAGGTCACATACAGTATATAGCAAAATGAAAATAATAGGTAATTTTACACAGACTGCAGACTATCCCCCATTGGACTCAACTATGAAGCTTGAATTTTAAAAAATCCAAAGGGCAGTCAAAAGATGAAAAGGTCATTCTGACTGAATCAAGAGATATGCTTTGTTAATCTTATATATATATATAATTGAATCTGTAAAATTGCTGGATGTTTGGGCATGATAAGCAGACCTGGATAAAACTTTGACAATCTGTTTTATTATTACTTTTTGGTCATATACTAATTCAATCAACATTGGTTTTTTCCAGCTAATGGGTCAAATAAGATTAAGTCATTTTTTTTCTTCTTCTTCCATAGTGACATCATCCTTCCAGGATATTTTGTTTTTGCTTTCTATTGGCTAAATCCAGTCAAAATGTGCTCCAGCCATTTTTCCTTCTATTTCTAGCTCTGTAACTACAATAGACAGATTATCAGATTCTCATTTAACAAGCTACATCATTTGAACAAGCCCACATTCTTAGCCAAGCAAAATGAATATCCCAGAATCTCAATACTCTGTCTTTCCTTCACGTTTGTCAGAAAAAAAGGAATTCATAAAATTCTTCATTTGAGGAAAACTTGATGCTCCCAGTGAGACATGATCAAGACTAATGTTTTTTTTTTTTTTTCTAGATAGGGCTGTAACTTATTCCTATTCCAAAAGGTCACACGCCTCACCTTCATCCTTTATTCTGATTAAACAGAATAAAATAGAAAGTTTCTCAAGGAATATACTATAAAGCAAAGGCAAGTTATTAGCAGTACAGTCTCAGTCAATGTAGTATAGGAAAATGAATGGCAGAGTTTTGTGGTACTAGTAGAGTAATTCCTTAATGAACCTGTCTATCTTTGCTTTCCAGCTCTTTTCTAAAACACTCAAAAGAAACTTTATGGAGAAAAAAAATATTCTTTGAATTCTATCTTTTACCTCCAGGGGAAATTTTTATCTCTAATTTCCACTCTACCCCCAATGTGTTTTTTTTCCTGCTAAATTAACATGCATAATTAATTAATTAATAACCCATTAATTATAATTAATAGTTAATGTGTTAGCTAATTATAATAATTAATTAATGATAAAAAGAAGAATGTAAATCAGGTAGAAAGGGAGGAAGGAATGAACAGTAGAAAATAGTGTATCCTTTTTTTAGGATTCCTTTCTAATTTTCAACAATGAACTTGCCCATCTCCCATTTTTATTTTTACCTCAAATGTCTTTCTAAAGAAAATTCTGTTCCCTATTCTTAATGAAACCAGACAGACCAAAAGGCTATTAACACCAGAGTCACAGAGCTAACATGATCTGAGAAGTTAATTTACTTTGCATTTTATCTCTTTCTTTGTATTTTGAATAGAATTACTAATTTCCATCTAGCTGAAATGATTAGGATCTTCCTGTATTCCTGGTACTTCCCAAAGGAGTAACATGAATACTTTGATCCTATGTGTTTTATGTCTGTCAACAAAGACTATTTTAATGGAAGATATGGTAAGGTGTGGATTGAATTCACCCAAATATACTTTTGGCCTTTAAGGATTAATTAGTGATCATATTGTATATTAAGAGATTATCTATGCATCAAGTTCTTGTCCCTAAGTAGTAATATTAAGGTCAATAATTAATATTATATTCTTTAATGCTTTTATTTGCAACTTCAGATAAGTACACATTGTTTTTAGTCAGTGACTAAAAACATTCCTAAATATTAATTTGATCAAAGCTTTGTGAGAACAGCTGTAATGATTCAATTTTCTACTTCCTGCACCCTTAATCCACTAGAAGTGAGATATGCAGAGTATCCTCACTTACTCTGTCACTGAAAGAAATCATTTTTACTGCTATGCAAGCTCTTTTCTGGGTTCTTGCTTAGACTTGGCATCATTAGGATATCTAGCACAGTATCACAATTATTTTCTCAGAAATCTCTTAAGATTTGTAAAAGCAATTATATCTGAGTTCATAAGTACAGATCTTGTGCACTTACTTGGAAGGAAGCCACACTGAAATAATTCAGATTTACTTCCCAAAGATGATAGTTGGGTATCTCCTGCAGAGATTTTGTTAACCTCATTATGATCAAATGAGAGTTAATAGTCTAGATATTGGAACGTGCAGGGAAAAAAGACAATGGTGTCAAGAAAAATAAAGGTCAACAAATATTTGAACTGAACTTGGAATTGCTGAGTACCAAGGACAACCTCCAAATTCTTTGTTTGACAAAATAGTTAAGGCTGAAAAATGTATACTTTACTTGGATTCAAAAATCCCACTAATTTCAGTGAGAACGATTTCAAAGCAAACAGGCAAATTTAAGAATATAACAGCATCCTGTTGAATTCTACAGCCTACTTACAGTTATTTTCTCATATTAATCTGACTTGACTAAAGCTATAATATCTATTTCATTGTTATAATGACAATTTAAGATATTGATAATGTATATAAAGATATGTATGGCTCTTGTTTCCAGCCCAGAAGCCATCTTCTAATTCATATTTCTAAATCAATAGTTCAAAAGACTGTTCCTCACCTGGAAAGTACCAGCATGGTCTTCTTCTTTGTCTCCTTCTTTGCCCTCTTTCAAAGCAATCAATGTGAATCCACGAAAATAGGCTGGTGTAGCTGCAGATAGTGTTACTGTAGGAGGGAAGGAAGAAAAATACCACATTTGAAATCCATAAATTTGTTTCCTCTTTTTTTAAAAAAAAAAAAAAATCCAAATCTTGGTTACTGATCATTCCCAGAATCTGGGTGCCTTCAAGCATAGAGTCTTCAGTGGAGTCTTCTAAAATTGAAAAAAGGGAAATACCTGAGAATACCTTTAGTCTAAATAGAAGATGTAAAGATGGACTCTTTGCAAATATTGTGGCCCTGGAAAATGCTTCATGTTGTCTCTTTTTATAAACTGAAAAAAGAATAGTAGTGTTATATTTGGAGAAAGCAAGTCTCATCTTTTAGCAATAGCACTTAGACTTACATACTGCTTCACAATGCTTTATAGCTCTCTCTAAGCGGTTTACAAAGTCATCATATTGCCCCCAACAATCTGGGTCCTCATTTTACAGAACTCAGAAGGATGGAAGGATGAGTCAACCTTGAACGAGTGAGATTCGAGCTGCCGAACTGCTGGCAGCCATCAACAGAATTAGCCTGCAATACTGCATTCTAACCACTGCACCATCACGGCTTTTTTTTAAAGGAAACTTCAAATATAAATAGAACAGATTGCTTCTTTCCCAACTGAATTTCCCTTCAAATATGCTCCCCTAATTCTCCTAAGTAAATTTGATGAGATGCAAGGAACAACTGGACACTGTTTAATTAACAGTATTACTTCTGATAACATTCCGATATTTGAGTGCACCCCTTTTCACGTAAGTACATTTCTAGACATGACACGTTATTAAGATTGCTTCCATAGGCATATTTTCAAACTTTCTAACATTCTTCCTCATTAAGGCCTAGTTATTCTCTCTAGTGGAAAATACACTGAAATAGAAAGCGAACAGAAATATGGTGAACATTTAAGCTTTCTTATGAGACCCCAAAGATGCTTTTTCACAAGTCAACTGTATTCTCTTGTTTTTCTTTAAAGACATTTCACTTCTCATCCAAGAAGCTTCTTCAGCTCTGGCTGGATGGTGGGAATGAAAAGATTTATACTTCTGCACACAGCTTTTCATTTACATTCTTTTAGCGAGTCATTAAAGCTACCTGGAGGCTTATCAAAATGTGGACAGAGAGGACTGCTAGTTTGAAAGAAGGGTCAAAAACGCTACCTATGTCAAAACTGAACAACCCTCTTTCAACAGAGGGGGGGGATCCAACATCATCTACCTCCAGTCTACAACACAGTCCTTTCAGCAGTTCCAAGAAGCTCTATACCCATTTGCACTACTCAGGTGACCCTGAAGACACAGATAAGCCTCCAGATAGCTTTAATGACTCGCTAAAAGAATGCAAATGAACAGTTGTCTCCAGAAGTATAGATCTTTTCATTCCCACCATCCAGTCAGAGTTGAAGAAGCTTCTTGGATGAGAAGTGAAATGTTTTCAAAGAAAAACAAGAAAGTCCAGTTGCCTCTTGAAAAAGCATCTTCGGGATAACTATGACCTGGATGACTGAGAATCTCCATAGACTTTCTTATGAGAGAGCTCAAAATGGCCATTATCAACAAAATCATTGCCAAGAAACAAAAGACATTAGAGATGAGCAGAGCTTCAGATTTGATCTCAAAAATTTTTCCTGGAGCCCATGGAAGGAAGGAAGGAAGTAGCATCTGTCTTTGCAACAGCCAGAATGCTGATAGGTGCTACAGTTCATACGCTACACTCCAGAATACTTTGGGAGACTAAGGCTAAATATATGAGACAAAATGTTCATAACAAAGATTGAGAAAAGTTTCATTGAGAACCCAGTGCCAGTTCTCCCATTTTAGCCTAGGTACCCAGAGATAAGCCCCATTAAGTTCAATAGAAGTATTTCCCAGGAAAATGGGCGTAAAACTATAATCTTAGTGGCATCCTCTGCCACATACTTTATCAGTCAAGTTTTTTTTTTAAAACAGTGCTTATTGAAAGTAAACATTCTCTTAATTGCCTTGTACTTCCTGCTGCCAGCAGTTCTGGCAGCTGAAGAAATAGGCTGCCACCTTCAAGCTCTTAGACTGAATTAAAATTAGTATACATGAATCATCTAACCAAATATGGATAAAGATATCACAGAATATCAAAGTAAAATGCATTAAGTTAGAATTAACTTCTGATTTTAGTTATGAAAAGGTGCCGACATTTCACTTGCACCATTTTCTCAAAGAATGCTCAGTTCACATCACACTATGACATGCTGTAACTTGTTTGGTTTTGGCTTAGCTTGTTCTACAAATCTATACAATTTGCCTTAATGTATTGGATTAAAAACTATTGAATCTGTAATTTTAAAAGAACCGTGATTTATGCATTTACCCATAGCCAAATAAGGAATTGAACCTGAATACATTCAGTTCTAGTTCAACATTACAACTATTACACCTCAATGACCCAACCACAATAACTCCAACACACTCAATGACAATCTGAGGTGCTAAAATTCACAATCTTATCTTCTGCTTCTTTAAGAACTTTGTCAGAAGTACAAGAAGTTTCATATATTAATAATAGTCAAGGACTCCTGCCTGAAGGTTGAGAATTCCGCTTTGCTTAGCATTACACTAATTTGGGAATCAACTGTCCTGGGAATGTAGCATCAGATATGTCCTAGTTGGCTAGGTTGCACATGAGTTGATGAAAAGCCTGAAAGAGGATGGATTTTCCTAGCTTTAATACAACTGGTATTGCCACAATCAGAAGCAATCTGTTGTGCATTTTCATTGCTGGGCTTGCTGCTGTAGCAGTAACTATAAGTTGTTGCAGGATGGAGCCTTCCTTCCTTCCTTCCTTGACTCATATGACTGTCTATGCCAGGGGTCTTCATACTTGGCCCTTTTATGACTTGTGGACTTCAACTCCCAGAATTCCTCAGCCATGATGCCTGGCTGAGGAATTCTGGGAGTTGAAGTCCACAAGTCATAAAAGGGCCAAGTTTGAAGACCCCTGGTCTATTCTATATACAATAATCCTGGGCAGTTCACAGAAAGATCAATAAAATATAAAAAAATAAAAACTGCACTACACTGTGTATGTATATATGTATAGTGTAGCACTGTACTACACTACACCATCTGAGCAATAGTAAAATGTTCTAATTCACTGTACCACTTCAAATTTTTATATTCAAACGATGATGATGATGATGCCTTGGTGGAAGACTTCTACTCCTTAGTATTTTGCCAACTCCGATAAATGTATCAGAAAAGATTTTGTTTTTCAGACAATATGAAGATTTTTGTCCCTGCAGCATAATTCTGGTTTAAAGCTTATTCAATATTTTTCCCTGATGTTGCTTTTTGTGTTTTTTTTTTTAAATAAGTGATTTTATCTAGGTGTGGATGAAACATTTCTATAGTTGCCTATATGACTTTTCCAAAGACAATGTTGCTAATCTGTAAATCACAGGTGTCAAACTCGCCACGTCATGTGACGTGTCGCAACATATCGCAACTCTTTTTGCATTGCCGGCAATGGGGTGGGCGCGGCTTTGGTATGATGAAACCAGCCCGCGGGCCAGCAGTTTGACCCCCCTGCTCTAAATACTAAAGTTTGACCTCAACCTCATTTAACTATGCAATATAATACATCTGCAATTTTCACAAATGACAATGGCTTGAGTCCAGCATCTTCCATCTAAGGACACAAGTTTCCTCCTGTCTATGAAAGATGTTTAATCCAGCAAGTAATTATTAATAATTGAAAGAAGAGAACATTTGTTCCTCTAACTGTACCTTTTTCAGTTTCCATGACACCTGAAACTCTGGGCATCACAACTAAGAAGACCCTTCCTTGGATAATTCTCTATCCACAGATGCTGTCCATTGGCAATACTTCAAGCACAGATTTTCCAAAGATCTCAAGCAATCTTTCGCTTATTCATGTGACAAATTAGAGAAAGTAACAGATGATTTTCAGATTATCTCATTGTTAAGAAATGCCTTTGAATGAGTAAGTGGATTTTTTAAAAAAAAATGTTCATAGGATGGGTACTTGTTTACATATCCAGTAAATGAAACCCCTCTACATGAATTATTCAAGTAAATAGAGCTGATCAGCTGGAGAGAGGCTAACTTTCAATGCTTAGCTTTAAATTTTATTTTCAACCAATCTAAAACCATCTAATATGGGATCTTTTGTGCTCTCTGAGTTTGGTTGTTTTCTTGCATACATTTCATTACCTAATTAGGTAACATGATCAGTGTGTCTGCAAGAAAACAACCAAGCTCAAAAAGTAGTCCTAACCCTAACCTCACAGTTCAATCCTGAATTATAAATATTTCTATTTTATCCATGTAATATATCCTGGGAAAAGGCACTGAATATAATTTGATTTAATATTTGCTGAACTGCCCTAACCTAAGTGCTATTCCTTCTAAATATAAAAAATAAGAATGAAGTCTGAAAGTTTAAATTTATAAATATAAACAAATAGTAATACTAAGAACTAGATAATAATAATAAAAAAAAAACTAAACCTAAGTACAAATAGGATTTTAATGTTATACCGAGAATCCATTTAGGTTAATATTTTCCATTCCTATCACTTCTTGTATAAATCCTATTTTACTTATCAGAAATACACAGATATTTCCCTTACAGATGAAAGTGATAGTAGCATCACAGCAAAAAACAAAAACAAAAACAAAACACTTTTCTTCCTGACTACAGAGCTACAAAGCATCAATTAAGCAGAGTAAGACAAAATGTTAAGAGTGCATTTCAGCAGGGACTAGATCTCTGTCCCCTGTACTTTTATACTTTCACTGATTTATGAACCTTTATATTTTTGGTCAATAGAAACCCAAATGCCACATCAAATTGTTACAAAAACGGGTTCACAAGGGAATTTTTAAAAAATCTTTTGACATAGAATGGGCAGCATTTTCCAATGCTAATGAAGCTGGTGGTAAAAAGCTATTTCTTTAAGAAGGCAAGAGATTTATAATGGCACGTACTGGGTGTTCCAACATTGTGCTGGAAAAATCACT